CAAATAAATCAATTAAAATAGCGTCTAAAAGCCTGCATTTTTACTGAGAAAACCCAAAAGTTTGTTAGGACACGTGTGGTTGACTTGCAAGTGTACATACACTTTCTTTGTTTGGTTGAGAATTGAGAATACTCTATATAAATTAATGCATATTTTATTTTCTGCGCCTTCTTTTCTTTCGTTTTGAGATCTTTCAAATTAATATAGTTTAGTAAATGTTGTGTCTAGATTGTAAACCTCGTTTAAAAAAGTGTTTACATCTTAAAATAATACATTTTCTTGTTCCATCCTGTCTAAGACAGAAAATCTGTCTAAACAGAAAATTTATAGTCTCATGCAATTCCGGTTTTCGTGATTTTTACTGTACAGACCTATTCTTTGATTTTTCAGATATTTTCACGCAGTTCAATTTTATGCCAACAAGAAAAGAAATCCGGTAAAGAGTGGCGTAACTTTTCGGGAAAAAATGTAAAATTGCCTGTGGCGCCATCTGTTATGATATTTTACTAAAAAGACTTTTAATAATATAAATTGCTATGAAATAGCAAAAAGGTTAATTTTGAGAGCAGGAATGCGTTTAATGAACAATTGTAAATGTTAATGAAGATTTTACTTCTCGTTATCAAGTTCGACACTACTCGAGATAAAAAATGTGACCTCTCTCTATCTCACCATCCCCTTGATCTTTAACCACCAAAATTTAATAGCATCAATCCCCAACACAAACCTCCCTGCAAAATTTTATTTAAAAGTTATTAAGCTTTAAAGTGGGTTAACAATATCGTGCCCCCACACATTCACACGCGCAAAACTCCCACCTTTAAAACGTTTCTTGTCATTTCAAGGTGTCCTATAAATCCAAAAATGTAAAAATCTTGGAGGTCTTTTTTTTTCCTATCTTTGACCGATCGTCATACATTCTCTGTTATATATAACAGTGTATAATAGTTGGGAAAGTAACAATGTCAATCTTAATTCGTGATTTAATTTAATAAAATTTAATTTATATTCATTATTTAAATGAAAGCTTGAATTTCACTGAATTTTAAAATTAGCCTATATTATTAAATCTTTGGTATTATTTTTTTAAATTTCGATACAAATTAAGTTTTTACTACAGTACTACCAGAACATGCAAACCTATTTCATTCTCAAATTTTACATAGTCAATAAGTAATATATGTTAATATAAATTATTGTATAGAATAGAATCTTAATTCCAGTGAGTTTTTCTAATTACATCGAGCAAACGAAGTAGTAAATAAGTTTCCATGACTAATTGTAGAATTTTTCATATTACAGTAGTTATAGTGTCTATATAATGCCAATTGGTAAAAATGTATGTAAAAAATTATTATTAATTGATGCTCATAAAAACAGCAAATACAGTACTTGCAAAGGTTAATTTTTTTAAAAAAGGTTAAAAAGGTTTGCAAAGTTAAAATTGAAAAAATTCAGATTAGTTTGCAAATTTCATTCACATAAGCCCATGTCGAAAATAATACTTGAAACGATTTATTATACCTTATACGTTTATCAAGAGTCTATGATTAATATTAAATTTAAAAATAAATTAATCAACTACTATTTTTGGGTTAAAATCGATTAAATATGACGAAACATACACCAAATCAGTAGCCCTGTATCCTACTTATACTGTATCAAGGATTTTAACAATACATCTCCCACGCTATTGACAGCATTAAAGGAATCCAATTAGTAAATAGCTTTCGTCTATACAATGAATTGATAATTAAATTAACTAAAGTACTCATGGGAATCCAGTAGCTAACAATACGACTTTCAATCTCTCCTGGCTATCCGATTTTGACTACTTGAATTTCCCCTTTCAATTGATTTTCAGAGTAAATACATTTGATCTGATTTAGGTTTAAAAACTTAAAATAAACTTTCTATATTTAAAAATTAATATTGAATAAAAGTTAGGATATATACAAACTTTAATGGAACAATGACTAGTTTAAAATAGTAATTAGTTGCAAAATAGCAACTTTTTCTGGATGAGGGCCTCAACTAAACTTCGTAGGCTACCGGCATACTTTTCTCTTATGGAATTGCAGACTGAGTATTAACACACTTCATAACTGCCAGTACACTAGCTACTAAAATAATATATCCTAATGATAAGCAAACTAGTAATATATAGTTTATTCTCATCTTTTCACTAGTCCAGTTTAGTTTAATGTTCTTTGTCACAAATATCAGCTTAATTAGCATTGCATCGTGGCAAGAGAAAGAAAACGGGATAATAAAATTGCTTTGCTACGTATTAGAACCTTGCGAGTTGCTCGTGACTAAGGACCAAGTTTAAAATCACAAACATATGCATTTTAAAGTGCTCGAAATATGCATTATACGTGTTAAAATAGCCAGTAAAATACACTAAAATATAAGTTGAAATGCATACGTACTGTACTTCTATCTGTGAGCAAATCTTAATAACGTCTATTACATCACACTTTTCAAGTGGGAAGGGATAAACACCCGATAATAGATGATACAAGGATTTCAAAAATGATGACGTCACAAAACATGTATTAGAATAACGTTTCATGTAAGTGACAGTCAAGTCAATTACGAATAAAATTACATGTTCAAAGACCCAAAGTTCGAAAATATTAGATTCATCATTGACTAATTAAACCATTCCAAACTTTTATATGCTTTAAAGCTTCTTTTGTGTAAGTAGGTAAACGTAAGATATATCCAAATGTCTCAAATTCAATATGTGTTCCAATTTTTAATGGTTTAAAAACGTTATTTCGGAGGTTTTCGTCTAATGGATCAGGAAATTCTAAATCATTTCATTTGTTTTTCTTGATACCTTAAATTTGTTAACATTATTCTACGAATTAAAATAATTTCTAGGCATCGTTCACTTGTATGTCGTTTAGGCTAATTACGACTAACCGGAAACACGAAACGGAAGTTCAAGCAAGTCTTTTATATAGAGCATGCGCATGCTTTTGTTTATTCAAGAATAGTCTACAAAGCATTTATTTATTTCCGAAAATGGTCGAAGCTGCAAAATATGTAATAAAATCATAAACGCGCATTTTGTGTCTTTTTAAATACGTTTATAAAATATGTATTGCCGGACAACCTTAATTTGATCCATCTGGACCCAACTATTGAGATTTTAACGTTATAGCATCTAAACAAATGCACGTGCATTCAAATCTGTATATTTAGACTGCTTTAAAACTTAACGTTTCTTAGAACATAAAAGCTATTTAATGATTTCAAAGAACAGTAATAATACTTTGGGGAGTAACAAAAGAGAATTTAGAACTTAACGAGAGTGACTTCTTTTGTGAGTTTATCTTGTCAGTGAACAGGTTGACATCATTAACTAATCCGGCATCATGGGACTTGTAGGTGTTGGATTAGTTTTTCCGGTCACATGGAATCCGGAGTTATAATATATTTAACCCAACAGCTGTACCTCATTCTACCTTTAAAATACTAGTAAATCAGTACAGGTTGGTTAAAGAAAAAAAGAGACATTAAATAAAAATTCCTTGTCAAATTATCGTACATCTGGCAAATCTGAGCACCACCAAACCGTAGCGGCAGGCGACCCCGCCTGCCGCTACGGTTAATTTGTAATTAGTGATGGTAGACCTGCACTTAACATTTAGCTTTTAGCTTTAACTTAGAAACATGTCACAACTAACAATGAACTAAAGGTAAATTTATCTTTACAGATAAGGAAGGGCTACGAGTAAAATTTATTTTTATCTTAACAACTAGTCCGTTAATGAACAAACATACTTTAAAAACATTGAAATATTTAAATTACAGAATGAATCATTAGAAGTAAGTTGTAAAAACATTCATTATCCTAATTAATGATAAACATTAATGAAGAAAAATACAACACATTCCTTTAACAGCTTAATGGGATTTTAAAACCGTTTGAGAAATAACTGATCTAAGTTTTTTCAAAGTTTCTCGGCCACTAAAACCTCCACACCGTGATGGACCGCGGACTACCGGTTGAGAAACGCTGAGATAGTAATTATAACTTTCAGAAATCCAAGATATAAAGCTTATTCTATTTGTTTCATATACGTGTTATAGAATAGATTTTGAGATACTTTAGCTACGATTGCATATCAATTTCTAATCATCCATTAATTGTTTTTGAAATTTAGTATGCTAATCATATCTCGATAAAATTTTGAACTTAAATTATATGATGGACATAAATTTATCAAACAGTACAATTCTTTTAATAAATCTTTAGTATTTTATATTCCTTACTCGCATCTAATAGTTAAATGATCATATAACAAAATAAATTACTTCGAATGTCTAATTAAAGGCTGTGAAAACAGTGTTAAGTTTAGTATTTGAAATTACAGAACTCCTTTGAGTATTATAAATATGACATTTGTTTTAATTAGGCACAATTATACAGTACCTAGGGAACAATTTAGCCACTTAACTACTGTGTAGTCAATTATCTGTTTTATGGAAGTCACACCTGTGTTCCGTTTTAGTCTCTAAACCTCTTAAGAACACTATAAATTCCTGAAATTTTTAGAATGTACTAGTAAGACTGTCTTAAAAATTAAGTAAGAATCAATTTTTCATAATTTTTAAATTCACGATTTTGATTTACTGTTTTTTCGACTTTTGAAAATAAAATCGAAATGCATAATACAAAAGAAACTGTTTGTTTACACTGCATTATTCCAGTCCATTGAACATATGTAATTAAGAACAAGTTAATAATGATTCAATTGAATCATTAATAACTTGTTCTCGATTAAATGGCGATTTTTAATCCAGTAACTTAAAATTTTAGTTTGATTCGACATTGTCTATTATTGATTTTACATAAGAATTATTAAAATATTTATTTGCATTTATCTATTATCTGCATTATCTTTACCATTTTCATTTGTATTAATTATGTATGATTTTTTTTGTCTAAGTTATTTTTATTCTTATATAAAATATTTTTTAATTAGGTCTAAAAGCAGATACGTCTCCTCTTACCGAACAAATGACAAGGATCATGAATGAAATCAGAAGTTTTCAAGAAATCATAGAAAAATTCAAACAAATACAAGTCGATTCAACAGAATACGCTTTCCTTAAAGCCATCGTTTTATTTAAAACCTGTAAGTAACTTTATCATAATTAATAAATTTCACCAGGTAAAATATATTTCATAAACCAACATTATTATTATTTTGTAGCATTTCAGAATACTTCGGCAGATGTTCGTGGAGTTCGTGAAATTACGATGATTGCTTCATATCAGGATCAGGCTCAACTTACCCTGAATACTTACATCCAAACAACTTATCCTATGCAAAAATTTCGATTTGGGAAATTACTCTTAATGCTCCCTTCACTTCGTTCTGTTAGCAATACGACTATAGAAGAATTATTTTTTCGAAAATCTATAGGTCATTCTCCCATGGAAAGGGTTTTATGTGATATGTATAAATCAGGAGATTTTTAATATTAATTCGTGTTTAGACTTCACATAAGTCCAAATGAAGGTCATATGTGCAATGATTATAAATGTGTCATTGCTAAGTGAAAACTCAGCTCGGCGTATTATGGATCTGCAAGATGCCCATGGCGCCTTGCATTGGCTTGCTGCTCTGGGCACCCGGAATCGAGTCCGGGCTGCAACAACCTGGATTTTCCACAAGGCAGCCTAATTTGTGTGACTGCTGCTGGACCCAATTGAAGAGGCTGCGATTTCCTCCCACACTAAGCATAATATATTTTAGAAGCATTCCATCACACATCTTACGCGTAAATGAATATTTTTTCTTTAACGAATTATATTTGGATTATAATTAATTAAGCACACTTTAATTGAAAAAAGTTGTTATCAACTATAAACAAGCAACTCACCTGGAAGACATTCAAGTTGGGCGAATTTTTCACTCTGCGATATAATGCGAATTATGTGAGAATTACACTTGTAAATATTTTTTTAATGATTTAAGTACGTTAACTGAACCGGAAAAAGTAAGCGAATAATTATTCAAACTAAATATAAATTATAAACATTATTATTGGATAAAATATCGAAATTTATTATTTATTGTTTAATACCTACAAGATATAATGTTCATATAGATTTTTAGAGAAAAAAATATTACATCCAATCAAGGTTGTAGCCAGGATTTTGTTTGGGGGTCCAAATTAGAACTGACACATCGAAGACTTTTGAACTACCGGGGGATAATCAAATAGTATGGAATTGTTTTAAAATTATGAGCAGGTACTCTAAGGGTGCGACTATGCAGACGCGAATTTAGAGCGATTTAGTTTTCGCAAAGGAAAACCATGCACAAACGAGAAGCGAGAAATAACGCTAGCGAGAGCGAATTTCTGGTTCTCGCACATATCTGACAGGTTTTGATATTTATCGCGTCTCGCCTCTTCTCGCCACATATTCTCGCTCGCTCGGAAAATTCGCTCGCTCGCGTCTGCATAGTCGCACCCTAATAAAGCGTACGTTTTCAATTGTTGCTATATTTACATTTCATCTAAGTAAATTGTAAGTCCATCTAAGAATTTTTAACTCGCTAGTTTAAAAGAGAACTTTAAGTATCTTTTGGACTTTTTAATTTTTTTTAAAATTTATAAAATAACCGATCCCATTGCTTTTATTTTTTTTTATCCATCTAAGTAGTTCTCTATTGATATTTTTGACTATTTCAAAATCTTTTAAAGACTTCTCCACACTATGTCACAATTCAGCTTTAGATTCTATTTCCTCCATTTCGTAAAATTTAGCATAGCATCTCGTTCTCTCACTTTGGTAACCACTTAAAAGGGGTTTTTTTTTTGGACGTATAAAACCAAATGTTTATGTCCTTAGAATCCGACGTTCACTCGAGTTCAGGAATTACTAAGAAGACAATTTTAGTTCTTAGGTATTTCATTTACATGCATTTAGGATCGGAGTTTTTATCGATCCCTCTGCAGTCTACAAATAATAAAATTGTATTGTAAATTAAACTTTTAACCAAGATGTAAAAAGTTAAAACAAAACTTACAAAGATACAATATATATACCTATCATAATAATTGTATAATTAACAAAGTTAATATTAAAATTTTATTTCTAGACCATGATGTATGTCTACGGAAATTTAAAGAGCATATCACGATTAAAAATAAAGATAATTTAATTAATTTGAATAGTGAAATGTTAATACCGTAGATGCTATATGAAATGACGTTATTTGTAATAAAAGTAATAAAAGTACAATGTTATCGTAATGGATATCGGGGATGCAGAAAAATAGTGTAAACTCTGTCGCAAGTTATACCTTTGTAAGTTTTGTTTCAATTAAGACTGAAGAGGAATCGGTGAAAACTCCTATTCGAAATGGATATACAGGTAACCCTCGTATAACACGGCACTTCTATAGCACGGATTCACTCTAACACGGTTCGGGAATTGGGTAAAACCCTCGTACAACATGAAATGTAATAAAGGGTGCGTTCTTTTATATCTCCGCGCGAGCATTCTAATTTTTTTCGTGGCTACTTTGAATGCTCTTTCAACATATAATCCATTTAATGTTTAAATTATACAATTGGGACCCTTCTTTTGCCTCTAAAAGCTCATTTTAAAATTATAGATTCCTCCACACGATACTATCGATAGTGCGGGCGCCGCCATCTTTCTTTCACCGTCGTTCCTAAATGCCTACAAACAGCAGCGCACTCCCGTTGCAGAGCGACCGCTATTAACAAATGCACCCAAAAACTGTTACCAGTTGATGATGCTCACGCTGAGATCATCATATAGGATGAATAATCCTCTGATAAAATATTTACTTAAATAATAAATAAGTATTTTACCTATGAAAAAATGAATAATAAATCTGATTTAAATAAGGATTTAACAACATGTTTTTTAATTTTTGGAACCTAACCTCCCTTTTCGCACTAGTTCTTTGTTTCGTATAACACGGCAATTTTTTGGAACGTAACTTCCGTGTTATAAGGGGGTTACTTGTACAGTAAAAATATCCCGGAACTAAAATTCTTACGAGTAATTCTTGAACTTGGGTGAAAGTCGAATTCGAAGAACAATATTTTGTTTTATTTGTCCAAAAACCTATTCTGAGTTTCAAATCTTCTATGGTCGAATATAGCACGAGAAAGAGATATAGAGGCTAGTACATTTTCCTGATAAAATCTCTTCTCCAATACTGACGAAAACGAATCGAGGTATGAAATAAGTATCGATCGTTTTCAGTACTCGACAGATGATACTGCAGAAGGATTCGAACTATTTTATGATATTTCACTATTCTGGCGATAGTTGGCGGTCATTGAAGTTTGAAATTGTATAAATTTTTTTTAAATTTACGGGGCAATCCCTTCCTGGCTACGCCCGTGCATCCAATTGCTATTTAATTTATGATACAAAATCAAGGATGATGTATGTACAGTACAATACAGTAAGTTAGAATCCTGTTCTCGTCCGAAGAGCGGAAAGTCAAAAAATTAAAATAGAAAATATTAATAGTTAAAACTATTTCAAGAAATATATCAATTTAAAGCATTGAGTCTACATAAAATATGACAGTTTCCGATAGTTTCCAGATACCAATTCTAGCGGGATTCTAAGTATAACTTTGCTATAGAATATACAAAATTAGTGGAGGTTAAATAATGTACAGATGTGAATATGACCTTCACAATATGAAATTTTTGTTTTTTTTTTTGTATCAATAATTTAAAAAATTTATTCGTTTATAATTTCTGGTTCTGTTCCACTAGTTTAAGTACAGATGCATGAAAATTAATGTAAAATCTGCAAAAAGCGATATTAATGAAGTTGGAAATTAACAAATTTCCAATTACAGTAGAATCTGCTTATTGTAATATTACATAGCTGATGATAATGTCCGAATTAGTGTTGAAAATATGTGTGTTTTGATTTAATCAAAAATTTGGCTATAATTATCATTATCTTCATGTAAATAGACACTATATTTTAATTGTTTTTTTCACATTACCAACCACTGATAACTAAATTATTCAGTTATATTTACAGTTTTAAACAATAATAGTTTTAATTGTTATTTTCTCGCAATTTAAATTTCTAGATTTCTTATTTCAATTATACACTGAATGAATTACTAATAATTAATAATTATAGTTAATTAATCTTCAAACTATACATTTTTAATTGTAGTTTTATTTACTTATCTGGATAATTTCATTAGCCAGTTATCAGTATAAGGAGTTACAAAGTGACGATAATAAGCAGATTCTACTACATTGAATAAACATAAAAATCGAATAAATGTTATGGATAAAGTTCTATATTTTTAAATTGTAAAAATTGTAAAATGAAAAAGAATTTATATGCTCTAGCGAACAAAGAAAAAAAAAATGTTTTAATGATTTAAATTTGAAATATGGCTAGAAATGTAACTTATTATTTATTAATAAAATAAATAAAAAAAAAAGCTAAATATAAAATGGATTAAAAACGAATATGTTCTGAATTATGTTATATTTAGCAACAGAAAACATGTTTAAAACTTTTTTTAACAATTTAAAATATAACTAAAAAGTATTTGTTTTAATAATATGTATTATGAATATTATAAAGCTTCACGTGTATATAAAACACACGTTAATTGTATTGAATGAAATTAAAAAATCGGAAGGAAACATGCAAATAATTCATTTTAAATAATAATTGACGATGAATTAAAAAATTAGAAATTCAAAATTCGATTATAAACATTAATAATAATAGAAAATATTTGAAATTGTAAATCGATTTTTTCGAATCTTTCAAGATTTTTGCGTTTTTTTAAACTCTTGGTANTCAATTTAAAGCATTGAGTCTACATAAAATATGACAGTTTCCGATAGTTTCCAGATACCAATTCTAGCGGGATTCTAAGTATAACTTTGCTATAGAATATACAAAATTAGTGGAGGTTAAATAATGTACAGATGTGAATATGACCTTCACAATATGAAATTTTTGTTTTTTTTTTTGTATCAATAATTTAAAAAATTTATTCGTTTATAATTTCTGGTTCTGTTCCACTAGTTTAAGTACAGATGCATGAAAATTAATGTAAAATCTGCAAAAAGCGATATTAATGAAGTTGGAAATTAACAAATTTCCAATTACAGTAGAATCTGCTTATTGTAATATTACATAGCTGATGATAATGTCCGAATTAGTGTTGAAAATATGTGTGTTTTGATTTAATCAAAAATTTGGCTATAATTATCATTATCTTCATGTAAATAGACACTATATTTTAATTGTTTTTTTCACATTACCAACCACTGATAACTAAATTATTCAGTTATATTTACAGTTTTAAACAATAATAGTTTTAATTGTTATTTTCTCGCAATTTAAATTTCTAGATTTCTTATTTCAATTATACACTGAATGAATTACTAATAATTAATAATTATAGTTAATTAATCTTCAAACTATACATTTTTAATTGTAGTTTTATTTACTTATCTGGATAATTTCATTAGCCAGTTATCAGTATAAGGAGTTACAAAGTGACGATAATAAGCAGATTCTACTACATTGAATAAACATAAAAATCGAATAAATGTTATGGATAAAGTTCTATATTTTTAAATTGTAAAAATTGTAAAATGAAAAAGAATTTATATGCTCTAGCGAACAAAGAAAAAAAAAATGTTTTAATGATTTAAATTTGAAATATGGCTAGAAATGTAACTTATTATTTATTAATAAAATAAATAAAAAAAAAAGCTAAATATAAAATGGATTAAAAACGAATATGTTCTGAATTATGTTATATTTAGCAACAGAAAACATGTTTAAAACTTTTTTTAACAATTTAAAATATAACTAAAAAGTATTTGTTTTAATAATATGTATTATGAATATTATAAAGCTTCACGTGTATATAAAACACACGTTAATTGTATTGAATGAAATTAAAAAATCGGAAGGAAACATGCAAATAATTCATTTTAAATAATAATTGACGATGAATTAAAAAATTAGAAATTCAAAATTCGATTATAAACATTAATAATAATAGAAAATATTTGAAATTGTAAATCGATTTTTTCGAATCTTTCAAGATTTTTGCGTTTTTTTTAACCTCTTGGTAGTCGTATTTAATTTGACAATATATCTGACCTTAAACTATTTAAACAATAAATTTTCCATCATAAATGATTTCCGAAATATGAATATTATAATGATACGATCTATCAGGACACAGATGTTTCGTTTAGCTGGTTAGAATAATTGATATGTCATTAAGAGATTTTGTTTCATTTCTCATGTTGCATCACTTATTTTGT